AGATCAAGCAAACGTTAAGCACTATGAGTCATTTGATTTTGTTTTAATTAGTGGAATAAAAAATAATATCAAAGCCCCCAAACAATTAGCCCGAGACCATGGAAAGAGCAGAAAAAGGATTCCAGATTAAATAAAGAACACGTGATGGATTAAAAACAACATGACAGTAACTCACCGTACTGCCTTGATGTGCTCCCAGCTGGCGATCCCTGTCATGGCTCCTTTCTGGTCTTTGGTTCTGCCATGCACGGTCAGCAGCTGGGAAGAGATTTGAAAAGCCAAATGAAGGACTTCCTAAGATGTTTTGGAATGCTTCCTTAAAATGCATTAGAGGCAGGCACATTTTTAAAATAAATATAAATAAATATTCTGAAATACAAAATAAGCTCAATATTTTATATTTTAAAAAGGACAGTTAATTAATTTCTGCCAAATAAGTAGTGGATTCTTAAAATTAGCAGTGCAATCCCACCTGACATCCCGCTTTCTCCAGCATCTGGGCATAGTGGACCGTCTTTTCGATCTCCTTGAACACACGGATCTTACATGTGATGGGCACCGACAGCTTTTCATTGGCTAATCTGACTGTAAAATAATAATTTAAGGTGTTTGAGACAGTAAGACTGTGGTGATGTGTAAAACACAAAATAACAAAAACTGTGATCAAGTGGCACTACATTGATGCAAGAAATTAGATTTTTTAAGAATTTGCGGGTTGCAGAATTTACATTTTGTCAGTGTCAGAATCAGCTTTATTGCCAAGTAGGTTTACACATACAAGGATTTTGCTTTGGTGTTTTGGTGCTTAACAACAAACCTAGTAAACCTAGTAATATGAGAAAAAAAAGCGAGTACTGCAGGAGAATTATAAATATAAAATTGACAATATGAAGAATAATAAAGAATACATACAATAATTTACAGTTTATGCAGGAATGTACAAAATATCTATATGGGATTAACATGTGTGAAAATGTACAGTATGAGTGTACAGTACTGTGGGGAGAGGGATGGTTATGAGAGCCAGTGGGGCTCCAGGGCCTTGTTGTTGAAGCCAGCTGCAGGCGGAAAGGAACTGTTCTTGTGGAGGTGTTGGTCCTGATGGACTGCAGCCAGGGGAGTGTCTGAAATGGTCCGCGTCCAGGTCGGGAGGGGTGAGCCACAATCTTTCCTGTTTGCCTCGGAGTCCCGGAAGCGTACAGGTCCTGGAGGGATGGTAGATTGCAGCAAGTCCTTCTAAAGACCTGTTGGCTCTGTAGACGAACTGCAGGGGGTCCAGGAGAATGGGTCTGTGATGGATAACAGGGGGCGTTCAAATAACATCATTACCACAGAGGGTTCTTAAGTCCTTGTTTTTTGGGGGACAGGGATGATGGTGGAGGAATATGAGGAAGGCTGACACATGGCGTGTCTCCAGCGAGGTGTTAAAGACATCTGTAAACGCCGGACAGCTGATCGGCACAGTGCTTCAGGGTGGATGGGGAGACAGAGCCAGGAAGAGCTGCTTTGCGGGGCTTCTGCGTCCTGTAAAGTCTGTTGAAGTTGTGGTGGGGGGAGGGGGGACTGTCTCCACTCCTAAACGCTTATTCCTTTTCCAACCTGGGCTGGGAACCAGGGTTTGTCATTATTATAACTCACCCTGGTGCATGATGGTACACAGTTGTCCTCACAGAAGCTGATGTAGGACGTCACAGCCTCTGTGAACTCATCCAGACTGTTGGTAGCAGTCTGGAAAACATCCTAGCCAGTGCAGTCCAAGCATGGAAGGTCCTCCATAGCTTCATTGGTTAAGGGCTTTGATATCCTCACAACAGGTTTACAGAGCTTTCATTTCTGCCTGTATGCAGGAACCAGGTGGACCATGATGCCGTCAGAGTGTCCCAGCGCAGCGAGGGTGACGGCATGATAGGAACTTCCTAGTGTAGTGTAGCAGTGATCCAGCATGTTCTCCTCTCTGGTCGGACATTTGATACACTGTCTGTATTTGGGGAGTTCACTGTTGAATCATCATTACACCAGCCACTGTTGATGGGGGGAAAAAAAGAAAATGACACCACCACCTTTTGTTTTGCCAGAAAGATCTGTGTCGCAATCCGCTCTGAATTGTTCAGAGCCAGCTTCTGCAGCACAGAGTCCGGTATCGATCCACACAGCCACGTCTCCGTGAAGCATGAAACAGAAGATGAAAAAAAGTCTTTGTTTTTCCCCACAAGTAGCTGAAGTTCAGTTTGTTGCAGAAATATTCCGGCACGTTTCCCCTCTCGTCCCGTGTTTCATATTTTGGTCAAAAGGTGAGAGCCCTTTTGACCAAAATGTCCAATAATTCCGCTTATGGAAAAGTGGGGGTAAAATTCCGCTGGTGGTGTTCCTCTGATGTTCATGAGCTCCGGGTATCACAGCAGAAAACTGAATTTACAAACATAACAACACAAAAAGAGCGCGCACCAAAACATTGAGGCAGAACCATTTTGAGCCCTACAGTAAGTAAAAACACACTTACCCATTTTCTCTAACAGCTCCCATTCGTCTTGTAGGAAAACTCCATAGTGCCCTTAGAAACAAGCACCATGACAGGTTAGTTTCTCCTTCACTCTGTGTGCGAGGTTGCCATACGACCACTAGTAGGAACTGTGCGTACCTCTCTTAGCGATCATCTGCGGACAGCCCAGGTTGAGGTCGATAGCATCGCAGTAATCCTGGGCCAGCAGAGCCGCCTGAAGGAACACCTCTGGATCATTGGCACAAAACTGACACAGAGGGAATACTGTAAGGTGTACATTCACATAAAACGCCTTCTGACAAGCCTGTGATGACTGCACAAGAGGACGAACATGCAGGGGAATTTCCAGCAGTGCTACAGTCTACCATCATTTAACAGTCTGTCTGTGTGGATCATCACCTGTGTGATGAGAGGTCGGTCCTCTTCAGACACCTCATTGTAGAGGTTTTCTCTCCTGTAATTGCCGTCGCGAACAAACACCTGAGCATGGAGCATGGGGGTGTAGCACAGCTGAGCACCGTGGCGACGGCTCAGCAGTCGCCAGGCCAGCTCGCTCTGGTCCACCATGGGTGCCACCACAAAGCGGGCTCCTTTCAGGGTCTTCCTCCAGAACTCAAAGCCCTGGAGCTTGGCCATCACAGCTGGCAGGTACTGTCAAAGATTTGAAACAGAACTTCAAAACATGACAGAGGAAATCTGGAGATCTGGGAGTGCACCTTTTAAATGTGAACCATGTTTCTAACCAAGACACATTGAGTTTGGGCTTATCTCTGGCATTGCGATTTAAGGACTTTCTTGTGGAGTGTGGTATTTCAGCTCTCTTTCCAACTCCAGCATTAGCCTTCTGTCTAGTCTAGTCATATTCAACTGTATGTATATAGCGCCAATTCATAACAGGAATGAGCTCATGGCACTTTTATATATTACTAAAATAAATATATAAAAAACCTAAAATACGACAGTGTATTTCTTGGTAACTTATATATAACTTAAGCAACCCATCAGTGAAGACATGGACCTCCCACAGGTAAAGTTTCAAGCAGCTAGCAGTTTGACGATGAAGTAATTCGAATATTTTTCATTGGGCACTGTTTAGCTACCTGTTCAGACTCTAGTGAAATATTTTGAACGTCGAGCAGAGAAGCAGAGTGTAGCTAGCTCCACACCGACAGTACAGTAACGTTACTAGCTGTATTGCAATCTTGGACAACTTTTCACTTGTCTCGTAACGTTAGCAAGAGCGAGGCTGGCGACTCAGCATTTTTGTTGGTTTCGAGCGTTTCTGTTTTACTTCCAACTCTCTCTCTCTCAACAGTTATTCACATTTACCACAAACTACTTAGCTGTGCCTGTGCTGTCTTGTCATTTAGCTTGCAAAGCTAACTGCCATCAGTTGACGTGATGCACATGATGCACTGCCGAACAACACGCGACAACGAGTCTGACAGAAAATGTATCACAGTTATGATTCTCTAGCAACATCATGCACTGCTCTGGCCATGTACTAACTGTAGTCATCAATATACATATTGACAGTTTTTTCTTTCACCTGAAATACTATGAGATGTGTTGAGTATTCCTGGCGCAGCACTTTGCCACTGTGTGCAACAGCGAAATACTACCGGTGGGAACCTGGAGGGAACCTTTTCCTTTGCGCCGGCCTCTTCTTCTTCTTCTTGGTAATAATGGTGAGAATCCATCTAATGTGTTTTTGTGTCGCCCTTTTTTGCTGCGGTGGATGAACGCAGGGGCGGAAAAGAAGAATTCAGACCCGCTACTTAATTAAAAGTAGTATTAATTCAACCATTTAAAATACTTTCAAACTTGAATTCTAAATCTCTCTTAAGTAAAGGTACAGAAGAATTATCAGCAAAAATGGGCTTCTAGTATCAAAGTACCATATTGTGCAGCTTTTACCTACTTTATATACTGTTAGTCTAGGTTAATCTGTACAAATCTATTCACATTTTGATTTTAAATTCTTAATTTTAGCATCGCATGGAAATGCTCAAGTATAGTTCACTTCAAAACTGATAGTTAATTACCGTACTAGAGTATACACCACCATTTTTGATACTTGCCAATTTATGAACAACACATTATGCTTCACTAGTTATTATCATTACATATTTTATGAAGAGGTGGTTGGAATAAGCTGTTTCTCCACTGAACGCTTCATCCTCTTCTGCTTGACCGCTACACCATTCACATAGTCATTAATTGCTTTTTAAAGTAAGTAACAATACAAATTAACAAATTACTGAAAAGTAGCTTTCTTTCATGAATAAACAACTGTGTTTGGTGGATTGGAAATTTTAACATGAATGCAGACCTCATGTTACATATTTGTTAGAGCCAAATGAACACAAGCTCATACCAGGAAGGGCTTGCTAATATTGCTCATTAGAGACACACAGGAAAGTGACTTGACTTCTGGTGATTTTCTTACACTCAAGACAATAACACAATAGGGTTAACACAGATTTTTTTTCTTGTAGAATATATTTGTTTTTTCACACAATGGATACAGATTTTTTTTTTTTTACAGAAAAACAAAAGGCTTAAATGAAATTCCAGTTCAGTCTGTTCTGACTGATATCGGTGACATTCAGTAGGAATTTGTGGTTAGAAGAGTGACAAAGTGACTTAACAGTGTGGCCCCATTTTAACAGTAACAGTTGACACTGAAATACAATTTAACATATTTGATATACATCTCAAATAGCATTGTGAATGCAGCTGCATGGCTAATGCATGTATTAGGCTCAGATGTGAGGTTTTCTGTTTCATTGTTAGACACATCTCTCAACCACTGGTTAAACGCACAAACTGTACATTCAAATCACAGTGAGTCACGTTTCCATAAGGGAGTACCAAAGAAAGAAAGAAAGAAGCGAGCATGGTGTTCAGCTCTATTAGAAAATACCAAATATAATATCTACTGACCAGTCATATAGATGAAAAAATAAACTAATGTTTTATCTAGCAGTTATTGTAGGTGGATTATGAAACAGACACAGCATTGTTTTCTGTTTCTTTGTTAAATGATAAAACACTGACAACATGGCTCCTCAGTGATACTTCACATGAAGTCCCACTCGCTCATCCATCGCCATGGATACTGACATATGAGTCACTCACCCAACTGTTGTGTTATATTATGTCCTGTTTTATGGGTTGATTTTGTGATAATTTTGTGTGGATTTGTATTTACGAGCAACTTCTTTTAATTACACATCGTCTTTTGATCCATTGTTAATATACAAATATTGATTAGTCCAGTTTTATACATACACAATGTGGAATGACACCATGTAAGTATGTTAAAGGGAGCCTGCTATCAGGACAGACTACTAAAACTTGATGCATTGCTCTTAGTATCAGTTATTGTCAACTGATGTATCCCACTCATAATTCCAGTAATGAAAATAAAGGTTTTATTTAATGACAATTCCGTTGTTTTACAACATGGGCCTTTCCCTCATATTTTGAGCCATTATTCCATCATTCATTGGTTCTGAATACATTTTATTCTGCAACTTACATGACACTGAAAAACAACCCAAGTTGTAAACAAACAAAATTTACCTTTAATATTATTTTGCACTGAAACACACACAAACAGTACAGACAACACAAAACGTGTAGACAACATGAGTTTGAGGAAAAGGTAAGGTGTTATTCAGTTTAGGGATGTTACCTCAAAGTCTATTTTTGCCCCACTAGCAGCAAGCCATGTCTGTCGGCCTGTCCTTTGGTTCTTCACAGGATACTAAATCTCTACTGCTTGATCTTTGCAACTCTTGGACCACAGTGTGAACTTTGTGTTTTTTGGTGGCAAATACAAACTGTCACCTCACATTAGCTCAGCAGTTAGGCACAGTCACACACATAGAGTTCAGAGTGCTTTTCAAAGTCTGTTGAGTGAAAGTGAAGCACGACAAATCTAGCTTTGGTAAAATAGCTATAAATATCTCATGGAACACGGTGATGAAGACCATAACAAAGACATGGAGAACATTTGGGCCCTACTTATAATCCATGGAAAAATCACAAAGCTATCACAAGACCAGTAACAATCTCAAACAACTGCAACACTGACACTCCATACATGTAGCAACCATTAGCGACCATTTAATACTGACAAAACAGAAACCATTTCTCACTTAAACATCAAACCTGCCTTAACTGTGAGAGCACACCATACGGGAAGATGTAATTGATATTTGGATGACACCAGGTAGAGAGGGGATTACAAGCCTTTCAAGCTTTTTCACAGCAAACACTAAACATTTTATGCATTAATAATAATAATTAATAATTCTAAGATGTTCTAACTTTTATAACACATAATAAAAAAGCAGCATTTTCTTTTTTAAAGTATGGCAGCCCTAACCAGCCATCGATTCAAAAGTTTTTTAACTCCGTTTTACCGTGATAATGGTATAATTTTCTTGTGATCTCGAGATAACAAAACAGTAGTTTAACATAGTGGTTTAGTGGTAATTTAAGGGTGAATTTTAGTGTCACTGGTTAGCTCAGTTAGTAGAGCACCGGAGTCATACTCTTCGATGACTTCTAGTTGTGGGTTTGATCTTCACTGGATGGCAATTTTTTGTCTTTTTTCCCCCCATAATCTTCCTCAACAAAGAGACTGTTTCACATGCTTGCAATAAAGTGTCCACTGAACTGTGTGAATCCTGGGGATTTGTCCACATCCAAAAACCTATGGACATTTCCCCATCATTCCCAGGCAGAGGAAATTACTGTGCTTCTCATTCAGGGGAATCCATTTAACGTTACACATTTCCTGACGGCTATGTCGGTACCTCTGAAATAGCCGTCGGGAAATGTGTGATTGGATTCCCTTCATAACAACTTTGTTGAAGAGGATAATAAAAAACACACAAAAGAAGAAAAGTATAGTTATTAAGAGCGAGAGTTAAACTTACAACCCTTGGAAGTCCTGCCTGCACTTTACCCACTGAGCTAACCAGTCACACTGAAAGGTACTCTGAAATTATCCTAAAGAAACACACCGGCTGACTCTTGTATTCAGCTATGGTTTATCTCGAGATCACAAGAAAATTATCACGTTATCACAGGAAAACGGAGTAAAAAAATATTTGAATGGATGGCGGCTTAGGGCTTCCGTACTAAGGGATACAGCTGGCATGATTCTATATTGATTGGTAACAAATTCAATGTAAAGACCAAAAAAAAAACCAATGTGTTAGTCCATCTCTCAATATTTTTGGATTCCCCCAAATTTTCTTTGGCCCTCAGCCTCAAGTCCATTTGTTCCAAAGCAATCCATGCAAATCCTTTACGTTCAATACCTCAAAGTTTTAGTGAACTTCTGTTGGTCAACAGCAAACAATTTTGACCTGTGCTGAGAGCCAGAGCACGCTATCATCGCTCATTAACCATGGTGCACCATCCACTTTTATTTAATGCTGACCCTCCTCTGCTGGAGTATAACCTGCTTCAACAGAGGCATGGTTTGCTTATTCACAGTTAGCATGCTAACTACGTCAGACAGCTACTGTGACTGACTTGTGCTAGCATGTTCCTGGCTATAGTGCGTTTGTGGTTAGCCACTACATCACCAAGGTTTTAGCACTATATTTTTTCCGCAAACATGCTTAACTATGTTGTTGTCTATTTTTTTATTGTATTATTTATTTAACATGGACAGTGCATTATACATTTATTGAACCAGATCTAACTACAAGCTAATTTCCATCTGTAGTTAAGGTCTTTTTATGGAATTTCTTGACACTACAAATATAGAATATCATCCAAACTATCCCTTACCTGGATTTGCTGGTGGCTACATCAAAATAAATCTTTTGGTATAAACTGTATACACAAGGCAGTGCTGTAACTGAGTTCTTTATATTATATATATATATATATGTATATATATATATATATATATATATATATATATTATACTATTCACCACCTCAGCTTAAAACATCTAGTGATAAAATATGGCTATTACTATTTCACATGGCAGTGACACCAAAAAGCACCCTGCAAAGGAAAGAAATGAAAATCCGGATTAAACACTGAATGATGAGGAAAGCAGACGGTGCTCATTAGAACACTTGTAATACACTTCATCCTGCCTTTGGGTTATATAAAAAAAGAAAAGAAAGAAGCAATGAGTATAACCTGCAAGCCTAATTTCGTTCAGTGTCCATCCCTGCTCACAGGCATGTTTCAGAGCTGACAGCCGTGTCCCCATTTTGTTGTGGCTCTTTCAAGAACCTTTGCACTTTCTCTGAGTCCACTGGTACACTCTCTGGTCTGGCCTCCTCTACTGTCTCCTTGTCTGTTTCCTCCTTCTCCTCCTCCTTTAACTCTGGTATCACCTCGTTCTTTGTCTCCTTCTCTTTCTCCTCTCTTGCCCCTTTCCCATCCTCATCATTCATCACTGCAGGTTTGCCGCACACCTCGGTCATGGCGTCGTCTGTCACCGTGATGTTTTCAAGCTTGTCTGCTGGCTCTGAGGGCTTCTTTGTGATAAACAGGAAGTTACAAGTAGCCAGAACCACAGCTGAGAGGACCACCTCGCTTCCTGCCAGCAGGAAGACATACATGTAGTTCTTGGTGGCATCAAGAAGCCGGCCTGAGACAGAAGACAGAGAAACAGGGAAACAGATGAGAGAATTAAATGGGCAAAACACACAGAGATAATGCTAGCTTACACACTCTGTCTGTGATATCATACTGCCTACAGTACTTACAGCAGATTTGTCAAATGTCTGTCCATGTTTACCAGCAATGCCCTAACTGTAATTATTTCAAGGGGAGAGGAAAATACAGCAAGTCGCAGGGATTTTGCTACGTTAATTTAACATCATCTTTTTTTGTAGCACACTGTCTATGGAAATTTAGTGGTGAGTCCCCCAATGCTTTTGCATTACGAATATTAGCCTACTCCACTACAGACAGTAGGGGGCAGCAGAGTGCTTGTCTGCTGCCGGTGTGACACCAAAATGTGTGACCTATCAGATTCTGTTACCCAAATGGCAAGTTAAGCGCCAGAGGCTTTGTTGACGATGTGAAGCGGTTGCAGTTTGGTTGGGTTTAGGCACCAAAAGTACTGGGTTATGATTAGGAAAACATCGTCGTTTGGATGTAGTCACAGAATCTGATAGGTCACAGATTTTGGTGTTACACCTGTTGGAGACTGTTTTGATGTTTTAGATAAGCTGCTTGCCTTTGGTGTGGGAGACCTGTGTTCAGTTCCCACTGTGAGACATCCACCATTGTGTCCCTGAGTAAGACACTTAACCCCTAGTTGCTCCAGAGGCGTGCGACCTCTGACATGTATAGCAGTTGTAAGTCGCTTTGGATAAGCGTCGGCTAAATGAATAAATCTTAATGTAGTCAGATACATGTTGTTAAGTGTATGTAATTAGTTGAAAATGAGTATTGTGCAAAAAATACTTTATTGATTGACTTAAATGATTGTATTTATTAAATAAATTCTGGCAAGAGCGTCAAGACCAACGGCAGCAAGTTTCCTGTGTTTGTCATTTCACCTGTTTCACAGGTTTTATTATCTGTCCACACGCCCAGTGCCTGGGGCCTGTAACACTATTGAGCAATCCAATACTGTAAATATAGACAGATATTTTTAATAATGTAAATTTAACACAGCCACAGGGAATTTAACTGCCATTGACTAAGAATAGAAAAACATAGTGTCCTGGAATATGATTCTCCATCTGCATGTAAGTGAATGTCCTACGGCATCCTTCAGAGATATTTGCACGGCTGTTTTCTTTCATACTTTGAGGCTCTGTTTGCTTCTGGCTTCAGTGGCCTAGATGTTAATTTAAAGTTGTGTACACAATGTGAAAGTACTTGAAATATGAGTCGTCACTTCAAAGTCGTCAAATTGGCAACCACTGACAATAAGAAGTGTGGATGCTTTTGATGCTGTATTAGTGTTAAAGGGAGAGTAAGTGATTAAGTAATTCAATACACATTTTGTTAAAATTAGCAAATATTTCCTTCAGAGAATATTTTAAAGAGATCTTCATCTTGATCCTCTTTGTCAGCATGGTATTGCAAAATTGCCATGACTACCTAGGTTTGTTTTCGGTGTCCTATTTCAAACTGTCCTCTGTCCACCTTCTACACAAATTGATCTGTGAGCAGCTGGGGAGGGATCAATAATGCCCAAAGATCCAGAAAGGCTACCTCCCCTGAGGATGGGACATAATCAATTTCTGGGGTGAGAAGAGATTGCTTGTGGAATCGCGGGGGTGGAAACTGTATGATCCAGCACAACCACTGGAAGAGGTGGATGCAATATTGGAAACCACAGGAAGATAAATCTAAACAGGAATATATATTTTAACATATGGACAAGTTAAATGAGGAATAACATGAATAAAAGTAATGCCTAAGAGATTGAAGAATCTCAGATTCACTGCAAAAAAAACTATCATGGTAAAACCTTTAACTGGACAAAACTACTCTGCATTGCATCCATGGGGTGTTCTTGTTCTAATCAATTCTCTGGACAGGGTATATTTATCTCCCAGGTGTTAAGGTCTATTCCAGGTGCTGTGAGCAACCAGAAGAGCCCTAAAAGTCAAAGTTGGAATAGAATGGATACCTCAAAGTGCCAACTGGCACCAGTGACCGGCCACAAGCAGGCGAAAGGCTATGGCCAAAGAGCAGCTGGAGCTTTTTCTTCCTCCTAATAACTGGGTCAGGCCAGGGTATTCCCAGCGGCACTGACAAGTACGAGGGCTCTCATGCTGAGCTCATCAAAATTGCCATAGACCGGTTGCCACATATGTAAAAGGCTATCCGCAGAATGGACGGGGTCAGACCTTTGACCTAATGTTGGAACCTTAGACTTTCGTGCTCAACAACAAGTAAGGTTGCATACCATACAAACAAATGGAGAGACAAACAGCCCCAATCACAAGTAGAAAGGACAATGTTGAAAGGAGAAGGCAAACAGAAAAATTCAGAAAAGACTGATAGACATGTTCTTCCACTTCTCCTCAGGAAAAAAGGGGATAACAATCCTGTGGTTTTAAATGTCCAAGCCAGAAAAGATGAATGACTGTTGTGTTGCACATTTAATGTTCTACTCTGCAAGTAAATGGTGGTAATCGACCCATGATACAAACTGGATGATAAAGTACAACTTTCTGTAAATTGTGTCATGTTGATTACCATAGTAAGATGATTATTTTCTGTGTTTTGCTTCTTTTCACCTTTAACCATGATAGCAATTAAGGCTGAAGCATCAGTGCGGAACAAACACCTATCTTCTGCAACTATCTATCTACAAACAAATACAGCCATTAGCCTAATGACTGACGATGCACATGAACATAATGTAATCAAGCTCTGGCAAAAGATTCCAAGATTAAAGCACTCTCCAATGTTTAATTTAATTCACCTTAGCAGATCGGGAAATGTTTGACGGGTAAGATTTGTTTCTTTCATGAAACAAAAGAAGGTTGAGTTTGTTTACAGGACACCGCCCATCCCACAAATTCCACTCCCTCTGTCTCAGAGACTTAAACCATAGTAGCCTTTGCCTGGTTACTGCGAACATCTTATAAATTTTCCGTGGATTCAACTACAAAACAGTTGCAGAACAAGAACAGACCGCAGTTGCAGAAGATATGGTGAAAGAAGAGAGTAATACAGACGAAGAAACATACCAGGTTTTTTTTTTTTTGCATTGACTGACAACGAGCTGGGACTGTTACTGAAAGCAACACGGGAGTACAGAGAGACTGTGGCTCTGGAAAACAGACTCGGAGTCGTCGCGATGTTAATACTGCGACATGCATAGTACAAGTTTTATTTACACAGCACAAAATATTTTTATAAAAATACCGAAACAAATACTCTGTCAGTAGCATTGTGTTTTTGCTTTGCATGACTGATAAGACTGAATCAGAAAACCAAATGTGAGTGTCCGTGTCATTGTTTCATAAAGTCCTCCGTTTTTGCCCACGGGGTCAGCGGCGTTTACAAATTTTCGGATTTGCCATTTTAATCTGGACGGGAGGCGGAAACATAGCAAAAGTCTGTTTTAATCCGAAAAAAAGAGAGAGAGGCAGATGCTGATTGATCAGTCTCTCTCTGCCTGAGATGAGCACGGCCGCGATAGTTTCCCATGATCGCTCTTGCTTGTTGTTCCGCTTCTCTGATTGCGGCTCAACTCTCATTGTAAATGATTAAATGGGCGCATCAATCTGAGCTGAGCTAAAGTAAGGTGATGGCCAGTAACTTCTCAAAACAGTAGCCTAAGTCAGACACTTACAGACAGACTGACTTAGGCTATGTAGAAAGCGTTGCAACTGGCTTGAATGACACACAACATGTCATTTGTCAGTGTGTTGATTTTAACCAGTAACCAACAGAATCTTCACAAATGTAGAGAGGGGTGAATAATTACTAATTTAGTGAAACTCTAGGGTCTGGGAAGGATAAAAAGACACGACACGGGGAGAACATGCAAACTCCACACAGAAAGGCCGGGGAAACCGGGGTAAGTAACCACTTACCACTTAGTAACCACTGCATCACCGCCCCCCCCCCCCCCCAGACAGGAAGTATTCCTCTAATTTGCCAAAAATTGCATGTGTTCACACGTTATAAGCTGGCCCTGTATCTTCTCGGCTCATGAAACCATGCTGTGTAAGTCTTCATCAGTCTCTAAACTTCTTCATCACACCTTTATTTTTGGTTGCCATACATCACGAAGGTGGGCTGAAGTGTTAAATCGTTCCCCTAGAGGTAACAACAATCAATTTATCCAGGCCTACCTGTGCTGTGACAATATTAAGAGAACAGCTCAATTGTATGTACTACTGTCAGCAAAAATGTTTAAAATAAATCGGGTACTTTAGTCTAACATGTTCATGTTGGAGTTTTTGTGCTTACTGACCTGCACCAGGTGGCCCCACCAGCACAGCAATGGCCTCCATGAGCAGGACCAGGCCTATGGCACTGGAGAACTTCTCAGTACCAACTATTGCCATGAGAACTTCAAACTGCAGCGCACCCACCATGCCGTACGATATGCCAAAGAAGATGCAGAAGACCACCAGCGAGACATAGTCCTTGGCCTGGGAACAAATATGAAATGCATTGTGAGCTAAACATGTTTAGGTTTCACATCAGTGGACGAGCGAGCATTAACCTACCTGTGATCCGATCAGGTCCGTGACTCCATTGAAGATCATAGCAAAGCTGAAGAGGTAGACGCAGCGAGGCCGAACCCATTTCAGTCCGGCAATCACGCCACACGTAGGCCGTGCAAAAATGTCAATGAAGCCCAGGATAGTGAGCAGCAGAGCCGATTTGGTGTCCTCATTCCCCAGCTCCTTAGCGTAGCTCACAACAAACACTGGAGGCACAAACAGCCCCAGCACCATGATGGATGCCGACACAGTGTAGATGACAAACCCACAATCTTTGAACACAGAGAAGTCCAGCAGTTTGGCTTTGGGCTTCTTCTTCTTTTCTGCCTCCTCTGTTCCTTCATTGTTTTCCTGCTCCTGTTCCTTAGACTTCAGCGTCTTGGGGGCGACCAGAGGCCTCATGAGGGCCCCACACACACAACAGTTGAGTAGAATGCCACCCAAGATGAGGAAGCCCCCCCTCCATCCGTACTGGTACTGGAGGACCTGGCCCAGTGGTGAGAGGCAGCACAGGGCCACAGGGCTTCCTGCTGCTGATAGCCCATTGGCCAGAGGACGCTTCTCGCTGAAGTAGCGGTTGAGCATAATCAGAGACGGCTGGAAGTTCAGGGCTAACCCCAAACCTGTAGCAAAGGAAAGGAAGCCTTTTATATTATTTTACATTCTTTACTTTTTTTGTTGTTTTTTAAGGATTTGTAAGTTCACCAAAAAGAAGACGTCAGCCTTTCTCTAATGAGTTTATAGTAAACACCAGTGTGGTTTGCTTTGATTGCTTTTTTTAAGGGGTAACAACACCCTCAAATTCTGCTGGAACTTTCATCTCCCAGCATATTTTAAAAATGCAATAGGGGAGCCAGAGGGCAACAACTGTAGGAGGCATGGCTACATAGTGTGACATAAAAGGTCAGGGGATACAGGGGAGCAGGGGCATAGCTCAAAACCCTGGAGCAAAACCTTTGACAGTGGTGAATGCCACCAGCAGAAAATGTTTCTTCTTCAGAAACTGATTTAGCCGCTTGACATGTTGCATTAATAAGCAGCATCTTGTGCTGCTGAACCAGTAATATTAGCTTATGTAACTACTTGTATGTAGTACTTATGGGCTAAATTCGTCTACAGTCCCACTGATAATCAACAGCAGCAGCAGCAGCTGGGACACACCACAAACACAAGCAGGCCAGCACGTCACCATTTACAGGTGCTGGTCATATAATTAGAATATCATCAAAAAGTTGATTTATTTCAGTAATTCCATTCAAAATGTGAAACTTGGATATTATATTTATTCATTACACACAGACTGATATTTCAAATGTTTATTTCATTTAATTATGACGATTAAAACTGACAACTAATGAAAACCCCAAATTCAGTATCTTCAAAAATTTGAATATTACTTAAGACCAATACAAAAAAAGATTTTTAGAAATGTTGGCCAACTGAAAAGTATGAACATGAAAAGTATGAGCATGTACAGCACTCAATACTTAGTTGGGGCTCCTTTTGCCTGAATTACTGCAGCAATGCGGCGTGGCATGGAGTCGATCAGTCTGTGGCACTGCTCAGGTGTTATGAGAGCCCAGGTTGCTCTGATAGTGGCCTTCAGTTCTTCTGCATTGTTGGGTCTGGCGTATCTTCACAATACCACATAGATTTTCTATAGGGTTAAGGTCAGGCCAGTTTGCTGGCCAATTAAGAACAGGGATACCATGGTCTTTAAACCAGGTACTGGTAGCTTTGGCACTGTGTGCAGGTGCCAAGTCCTGTTGGAAAATGAAATCTGCATCCTCATAAAGTTGGTCAGCAGCAGGAAGCATGAAGTGCTCTAAAACTTCCTGGTAGACGGCTGCGTTGACCTTGGCCCTCAGAAAACACAGTGGACCAACACCAGCAGATGACATGGTACCCCAAACCATCACTGACTGTGGAAACTTTACACTGGACTTCAAGCAACGTGGATTCTCTGCCTCTCCTCTCTTCCTCCAGACTCTGGGACCTTGATTTCCAAAGGAAATGCAAAATTTACTTTCATCAGAGAACATAACTTTGGACCACTCAGCAGCAGTCCAGTCCTTTTTGTCTTTAGCCCAGGCGAGACGCTTCTGACGCTGTGTCTTGTTCAAGAGTGGCTTGACACAAGGAATGCGACAGCTGAAACCCATGTCTTGCATACGTCTGTGCGTGGTGGTTCTTGAAGCACTGACTCCAGCTGCAGTCCACTCTTTGTGAATCTCCCCCACATTTTTGAATGGGTTTTGTTTCACAATCCTCTCCAGGGTGCGGTTATCCCTATTGCTTGTACACTTTTTTCTACCACATCTTTTCCTTCCCTTCGCCTCTCTATTAATGTGCTTGGACACAGAGCTCTGTGAACAGCCAGCCTCTTTAGCAATGACCTTTTGTGTCTTGCCCTCCTTGTGCAAGGTGTCAATGGTCGTCTTTTGGACAGCTGTCAAGTCAGCAGTCTTCCCCATGATTGTGTAGCCTACAGAACTAGACTGAGAGACCATTTAAAGGCCTTTGCAGGTGTTTTGAGTTAATTAGCTGATTAGAGTGTGGCACCAGGTGTCTTCAATATTGAACCTTTTCACAATATTCAAATTTTCTGAGATACTGATTTTGGGGTTTTCATTAGTTGTCAGTTATAATCATCGAAATTAAAAGATATGAACACTTGAAATATATCAGTCTGTGTGGAATGAATGTATACATTATACAAGTTTCACTTTTTGAATGGAATTACTGAAATCAATCAACTTTTTGATGATATTCTAATTATATGACCAGCACCTGTATAAAAAGGTATGTATTATCAAGGGCTGTGGATGTAACATTAACGCGACTTTGAGTCTTTCAAGTGGCTAAAGGTAGGACTTCAAGCAGGATTAATGATGAAAATTAGACTAAAATGTTTTTTAGTTTTAATATACATTTTCATCGAAAGACTAAAACTAAATCAGAATCTCCTGTCAAAATGAACATTATGGGTGCCCAAAGAAGATTAAAGTCAAGTCAACTGGACTTAGTTGAAGATTCCCTCATCCAAGAGACTTCTTCAGTTCTGACTGACTGGTAGGGAAACTCAGCTATTTAACCCCTGTGGGGTCATTTTCCTAGGATCTTAGATATGGCTGGTTAGTTAGTGTTCCTGGCTGTTGTAACGATCGTTATGGTCGTTAGAATCAACCTGAGTCTGAACGACCATCATTGGCATCTTCACCTGAGGCCAAGAGGTTAACATTTGCTAAATTTCCTGGGGAGTGATGAAATACAGCATTGTAAGTATAAGTGGTGGCGTAGATCCCCTCCTCTGTTCAGCAACAGCTTCTCGACCTAACTATGACCTTGATAACTGAGAACCTTTATAGACAACATTATGGGTGACAAAATCCACAAACCTCGCACCAAAGTTTTAAATATGAAACTCCCTCTGTTTGACTGTTTCCATGCAGAGCTGTGACTGCTGAACCTTTGTATATGTTTCAGCTAGTCTAATGAATGTATTTTTGTACATAAATAAATGTAGCAAAAAAATATTCCAATAATACTTATTTGAGAAAAGCATGTTGAGAGGCCCCGCGACCCTGTATGCAGGATAAGCGGTTGACAATGGATGGATGGATGGATGTTCAAAAAAATTTATCCTCCAAAATGTATCACATACTAAGACATACCCTAAAGTCTCTGCACATGTTCTTGCACATATTCTTTTACATTTTCATACCTTATCAATGTAACATCTTCATATTTATATAGTTTATGTTTATTGTTATGCACCAAGTCACCAAAGCAAAGTCTTTGTATGTGTAAATCCACTTGGCTGAGCCTAAGGTAGGTATAGGTCTTAGTTAGGAGAAATCAGATGTTACAATACTCTACTGGAAGGCGGGAAACTTTCAGACCTGTAATGACCCCGACAGTGAGGTAGATGTGGATGATGCTGGTGGAGAAAGAGCCCAGGATCATTCCCAGAGAGGCAAAGAGGCCGCCCACCATCATCACAGGACGACAGCCAAAGCGGTTCACCAGCACACTGCACAGTGGACCTGGAGAAAGTGAAACACACGCAGTCAGTCTAAGTGGTCTGGTACGTCAATAAGTATAAAATACAGCATGTAAATAAGACAGCTTTGCAGATTATGGCAGCTGGGATAAAGAAGTTGATGGTGATCCTCCCATCTGACTCTGGGTAAGGGAGCAAACAAGCATATTTCCCAGTCAGACTGTTCCTTAAGTATTTAAGTATCTTATTAAACATATAAGCAAGAGGACAGTCCATGTAAGGACAAAAGTTATATATTCAAATATATATTTCACATTAGCTTTATAATTGTAGTGTTTATTGCACGGTTGCCTTAAATTCTTCTGCTGTTTCTTGTGTCCGCTATGTGCTGTATGTGTATTTTGCTAAACGTACTGCACAAGCAGCAGCCTACCTGTGCCATAGAGCATGGCCAGCAGTATGGAGGAGATCCAGGCAGTGTCGCTGTATCCCACCCCAAACTCCCTGATCAGCTCTTTGAAAAAGACACTGACCGCTTTAGGAAAAGCGTAGGAGAAGCCTGTGATGACGAAACAGCCAGCCAGCACCGCCCAGCCCCACCCTCCATCTGGAGCCTTCACCCCCCCTGCACCTTCGTCCACCACCACGCCTCCCATGGTGCTCTAGGGCTGTGTTTTAATGGAGGCAGACAGAGAAGCTGGAGGAGAAATGAAAATGACAACAAGCAGTTGGATAGAGTTTCACTGTGAGTGCATCTAATTCAGTTCTGCACCATGACTGCTGGACATCAGCAATTAGACTGCTCCCAGGGTGGATATGTGTAGCATGTGTTGAAATTAGTATTATGATATTACCATTTTTAAATGAACTGTGATACAATTATCATTAACTGGAATTACCAGAAACTCTTAAAGCTTTAGCTCCATTTGAGCCACCCTTGCTGTTTTGTGCCCTTAAAGCTCATATGTGTAGATTATAAAATTACTATGGCACACCCTACTTGAATAATCAAAAAAGTCAAAAACATGGTTCAGGACAGATTTATCTGTGTGCAGGGACGCAGAGAGCTGAATGTTAACAGCGGGTGAGAAAGGCTTACACAGATTCCAACGTGCTGCCCTCAGATATCTTCATAGTGACACATGATGTGTAGCAGTCCTGCTGTCAAATACTGCTGATTGGCTGAGCGAGGGACGGAGATTGGACCACGACTAACAGGAACTGTAACAAAGAACCAAAACATGAAGGCAGTTCATTATTTTAAACATCAGAAAAACAATCAGTCTCTTCTCTGCTGCCGATAGATTTCCATTTCTTTAATTCCTATATTATATATATTACATCCAAAGAGACTAGACTTTTCTTGGAACAACTGACCCTTTCGCTAAGCCCTGTCGCACCTTAGTTTCTCTCGATATGCCCATCGAGCTTTCTGTTATCACATAATGTAAACTATGTAGTTCACAATGATAATAGTGTCAGACAGAAGTAGATAAAAGCTGCAGCTCATTTCCAGGATCCTATGTACTTGACAGCTATACTTATCATGCTACAAGATTGAGGCTAAAGCTAACGTCCCTGGCAAAAAGTCAGCATACTCGGCCATTGAGCCATAAAGACACAGCACTGTTCTTGTATTGTAGAGCAGAGCTAGTCCTGGTATTTTAAGTATGATTGGGAAAACTAGGAAAAGGAATCAGACTCTTACTATATTTACAACACAAATCTGTTTGGCTGCGAGCTCACATACTTGTGAGCAACCGTGCAGAGCCCAAAGGATACTAAAGGACAGTACCCACCCAGCCACAGCCTGTTCACCCTGCTGCCTTCTGGGAAGAGATATAGAAGTTTTTGCTGTCGCACCACCCGACTGCAGAGCAGCTTTTCCCCCCCAGCTATCAGACTCTTAAACTCTAGTTCATCCTCAGCATTGCTCCAGTGATGATAGTTTATTTCTGTTTACCATTTTTGTAATTCCTTCTGTATTAATGTCTATTGTCTGCAGAAGGGAGTTACAAACTCAATTTCATTATATAACCTGTTATATTGTGATAATAAATGTACCTACCTACTTGGGCAAGCAAGACAGATTACTGAACAATCAGTCTGGAATTTATTGCCTTGCTCAAGCACACTGACATGTGTGCCAGGTGGAGCCAAAGATAAAACCAGCTCCCCTACAATTAACAGCTGACACTTTTAACCCTATACAGATCTTAATGAATTCCCTTAACAAAAGTGTTTAAACAGTCTTAAATTAAAGCAGAAAGTCAGCACTTTAATCTCATAGCCATTGTTTCTTTGCAAATCAAACGTACAACAAAACAATTAACTAAAACCACAAACAATTTTAGGTAGGAAATTAGTCAAATTTAGAGATGTTATTTAATTCGAACACCTATACCCTGGTTCTATCATTTCCCCTCAATCACCCTTTGGCCCATCAGCCAAGAACCCCCCACATGCAGTTTCATGTGTATATGTATGTGCATATGAGTCCAAATGATGAAAAGGGTGGTGATCAGAACAGTTTTGTAGTACAGTTGTTCAAATCTTAAAGACCAAAGAGACACTTCTCTGTAATTATATTTCTCCAAATCAAAGCACTAAAGACACTGCTGTGTGGACAGTGAGGAAATGGCTAGTGGCCCCATCAGTTAATTTACAACCTCTTGTAGAGCCAAAGTAATGATTTGTGCGGTAGAAATGGAGGCTGGGCTCATGCCAAACCAGCCAGCAATCTAGTGTCTCCAGGAAACATGATCATTTAAAGCCTCATACTGACGGGAATGTGACGTGACAAGCCTAAAAAAACTACAGACCACCAGAGCATGTGTGTTTCAGTCAGTCCCTGGGAGCAATATGCTGCATTATTACACAGTCATGTGCAGCTTTGAAATGTCTCCTGAATTCATTATTGGGAATATTGTCTGGACTGTAATATCTGCTTTCATAAAATGCGTCCTCCGAGTGTCCTTGGATATCAGATAAAATCTTAAGGTTAGACTCTGTGCCAAAAGTGGATTGATGCTGCTTTGCTCATCAGCACACAACTCACTCTCTATTTTTGTTATTGCAGAGAGTAAGTCCTCACCTGTCCTCCTACCTCAATGTTAACTAGGGATGGGAATCGCTACTGGATACCTTTAGGGGAGAGCGGGGTGAGTTGAGCCAGTTTTTACCTGGGGTGTCTTTAAAGTGAGGACATTACAGTAATGTCTCCAACTAAAACATGTATATAAATATCTATATATAAGGATGTTTATTAGCTATATAAGGATGTGGTGCATCCCTGGGAATAATACATTTGGATCTAAAATAAACTGTTTTCAAAATTTGGCTTTCAAAAAAAGGGGACTGTTGGCTCAACTTGCCCCATGTGAGGGGTAAGTTGAGCCACATGGGGGTCGGGGACATCAGTGTCATTTCATCTTGCAAACTTAAACGCCAGGTCCCAACATTTAATTGCATTTAGATAGTGAAACATTGCAGCTATGTCTCCTAGTTGTTTCATATCAATGTATCGCTTTAAAGTCATCATGTCCCCCTGCCACCTTCCATTTTGTACCTCTCCCACTGCTCTGTCCAAATCCACAAGAGGAGTTGAAGCCTGTCTGTTTTCCATTTATAGAAGCATGACATGATGGTTTCTGGTCTAAAATGCATAATGTCACATCATTTTGGTGATGAATGCAATATAAAATTATAGTAAAATATCTGGCTCAACTTCCCCCAGATCTTTGGCTCAAATGAACTTCTCCCTGCCGTTTTTACAAAATTTCGCAGTTCAAGGGTAACGTCATGCTAACAGTATAGCCTCATATTGTAACTTCACACCTGTCTGTAATTGTTCAAACACAAGAATCAGGACTCCTTGAACATCACACAAAAATCACTTTGAACGGCAAAAAACAGTTTTTTGATCTTAAATGTGCTCATCACTTATTCCCTCTCTCCATCACAGGGTGAGTAAAATGATTAACTCTTCAAAAATGTGCGGTCACATGACCAATTTTGTCTATGTTTGCGGAGAAACAAGGGGTGGCTCAACTTCCCCACAGGCTCAAATCCCAACCCTCTCCCTTAAGGTATCGCCGAAACAGCCCAGTAGGCCTATCGAGTAGGCTGGAATCCAAACGTCTCCCGTCAAACCAGTCCTACGTCAATCGATACTTTTTGTAAGGGGCAAAAAATACTAATTGTTGGTTTTGCTTGCAGCCAAACCCGCAAGCAACACAACAAAAGAAAGAGAAAAGCACCCCTTTTTTCCTTATATGCCTGCAGCGTAAACTGTATAAAAAAGGCGTGCAGGCGCAGAGTCCATGCGTGATTTAAACAGCCGCTCACCTTCAGCTGCGGTCTCAGACACGTTCGTCACTGTTGCAAGTTTATCACCACAAGCTTGGCTTTCCTTTGGTTTCATCACATTTTTATGTGCTATTCACATCACTTGTCACTGATCGATCTGTGCGTTCCATCACATCAATTAAAGCTTTTGTGGTGCAGCAGCGATCAGCTGATTTTACTCACGGAGCCTCGGGCTGCAGCTGCTTCAGGTGTGGTTGGTGTGATCGGCCTCTGTTTGCTTCTTTAGAGTCTTTAGTGTAGTTAAGTGACACCTCAATTTTTGTGTGACTCACCAATAAAGGACATAGCACTCGTGTATCAAATAAATATCTGAAATTCGTTTCCCAACTTAGCCTATTTGGTGACTAAACTATTTCACTCCTTTCTCATTCAAATAAAGGGAAACCGGGTATGGTTGTAACACTTTTTGCTTCAGTAACTATAACTCACTGAATTTTTTAGCTAGAGTTCTCAATTTTTTATACAAAGTACCCACATATGTTCACTACAAATGGCACCAATTCAATCCTCTACAAGAATATCACAGACCTCATGAGTTGATGTCAAATGCAATGTGTTCCCTTGTTACAACCTACTCCACTACCAGGGTAGGTTTTAACACATGCTGGAGTAAGTTGTAACAATCACACAAAATAATCAAAAATAGATGTCACACTATATGATAAGCTTCCAAAACAGGTAGTTATATAAAAGAACAATGTTTCTCTCTTGCTGTTACAGACTTTGTCTGTTGACTCACGTGCATGCACAGTATGTGTATGTAAATTTATCTATAGAATAAACTTACTTAAAAGTATGCTTAATAAATACTACTACAATGTTCCTAATAAAAGAACATATCTGTACATACTTAGGTCTAACTAAAAAGAGGTGTGTGTCAATGTGTGTATATTCTTATTCAGAGTCACAGTCAGTGCTGGAAGTGGCCCGGTATTCACCGGTAAGTATACCAGCTCTTCTATATTTTACTCTTTGGCATACCGGGACTTTTTTTTGCGCACAGGCACTTCTCACAAGCTGCCCATATGCTTTTCTACCCTCTCCATCGGTGGAGGCCGAGTATGGAAAAGGTCGAGTGACGATTCACACGCCAACATGTGAACTACATGTGAATGGGAAGTACTGGTTACAGTGCTGACAAATGAACGCTGGTAACCCTGGAGTGCAGGCTTAGTGAGCCCAGACTGCAAAGGGCATTCTGTAAAATATTAAAATCAAAGAAAGTCCCTAGTTTTATGTAGAGGATGGTTGTAACACTTTTTTAAGAACTGTTACAACCCACCCCACCCCTGTCAGCCAGTGATTAGCTAGCTGTATTAGCATAGTGGTTTGAAATTAGAAAGGAAAAAATGCATCACATGTTGCCTTAGAAACTACATTTCAATCTAATATAAGTCAAACAATAGTAAGCAATAGTATAGATACTAAACAAAAAATAGTCTTGGTCAAAAAATTTACTTTCTTACCTCAAAATCATTTTTTTCTCTATATATTCTGAATGCACATCTTTCCAGACTTAATAACCACCATGCTAGGTCTTGGAGGAAGTAGGTAAATACTGAAATGATCACCTAACTCCTATCTTATCTCTTTTTGGTGAAATTGGTGTTGTTATAACTCTCCCCATGTTACAACCATACCCGGTCTCCCCTATAAATACATTTGCAAGCTGCAGTCTTTCCCCGTATAATAGGCTGCTGATACATTCCCAATACTTCCACGTAACAGTTATTTGAAACAAGAGAAAAATAAAATAGCCAACCTTGCTTGTCCATAACAACAATAAAAGTATTAATAGATCAACTACTATTGCTTCAGCAGGTGGTATTTTATGCAAGGTATCGAATGAAGGCCTACTCTACTGGTAGCCTATCAGTATCACTTTAAGGGTATAGGCCTACAGGTTTTGGCTACTGGTAGCCTATCTAAAATTTAAAACATACCCAACCTTAATGTTGACATTTTAAAACTTTTCACAGCTGAATTTGAAAACTCCAGGGGTGCATCATGGACTACTGAAAGATTCAACACATCCAAAAAGCAAGTAGGTCTATGCTATTTAATTATCATTTCAATTGTTGTTCAAATTTATAGCTCTTTATATCTGCAGTTCTTGAAGCCAAGTTTTTCTACTATCAGCATTTGTGACCCAGAAGGTGAATAAAGGCCTCCTGTATAATGACAGTTTACCCTACAACATAATGTTGTAGGCCTATGTTGTAACTTTATGCTGTGTGAAGTTAGCACAGACCTCTAGATGTGATTCATAGAATAAACAAAAGCCTACTGTATAATCAGATTAGTCAGGACATCACCTTTATAGCTGAGCTAATCAATATTTTTTCAACCCTGGATCAAATGATAATATGAAGGGGTTGCTCATGAAAAACCATGGAGAATTATCACCTGGATCAACAGTTCCCCTCTGCTCTATGGAGCTTTTTAGCTCTTTTAGCCTCTCATCAACCTCATGTCCAGCAACAGGCAGCTCTTTTCAGCAAGAAGGCTCAGAACATTTGTCTACTTTTTCACACTTTAGTTTTTCTCCATGACGCACTCTGGGAATATTGAGATTTATTTCACCCCTAAGAGAATTTTAATTTCAAAGTAAAGGGTTTTAAGTTTTAAAACAGCCAACCAAATTAAATTAAATCAGTAGACTTGTTGTGGGTGCAACTCCCCTGCATTGGGTGTGTCCTACATCACGAAGAGTCCGTGCAACCTGTTCTGTCTGGATGCCTCTGCATGTCACAACTCTGTCACGACATCGTGCATCACAAATGGCAACTCACGCGACACGACGGACATTACAAATAAAAATGTGCCTATTAATGTGTCACTGAGGCCGCGAGAGACGCTTTACTCCCACCAGCCCCACACTGACCTGCATTTTTCTAAGAAATAAGTGCGGATGATTCACTCACCGGCCGATGCTGCTGAGCTCTGTCCCTCCTCCAGCCTCCTGCCTCAGCACCGGAGCTGCGTTTCTCCCCGCACGTCCGCGTGCAGACCATCAGCAGGGCAGCGAGGGGCTGCTCAGGCTGCCGGGTCCTAACGCCTCCATTTCACTGGCCTCCCCCTGCAGTGACCAATGAGAACACCGCCTGCTCTGCTATTTTTGGCCTTTTTGTTTTATTATCAGTGCAGGGGAGACCGGGACTGGTTGGCACACTCTTTTACCTCTTAGGAAATTCTACAAAGATGTGCTTTTATAAAAAAGATTAATCGTTCAACAATTAAATGGAAGTTTTTAAATTAGCAAAGACCCCAGCTGCACAAGATGGGTTAAGCCCTTTATTTCTTAATTAACTATTTTTGCTTTTTGTTCTAAAACAGGTAGCTACTCCTGCAATTTAGTTTTGTACTTTCATAAATTGGATCCTATGCTTCCCATAATGCAACTTGACAATGTCTTTCAGTAGACCATCCCTGCTTGGTAAATACCCACATAGCCTATGTAGCCTATGTATATGTGCAAATAATAATTACAATAATATACACGTGACAAATAAACTTGATTGACTGATGTGGGCGGACTACACCCATAATTTGTGGGTTAATACAGGCTTTCTGTTCATTTGTAGTCTTCAAGGCCAAGCTGAGCTAAGCTTAATGACACCATGACATCATCGGGGGTATTCTCTTGAGTTGTCAAAGCTCCTCTAGAGCCACATAATCCATTACAGACTGAATACTACTCCTCATGGCTAGTGAACTAATCTTACAAGCAACTGTGCAGCTAGTTTTTTCTTTAGCTAGCCTTGAAAAAGAAGCTCATTAGGGAGCTAACCCTTCATTGTTTATGGTTGTTTCAAAAACACCTACTCCTATGAAAAACATATGAGATGAAAGTTTAATATCCATGGGATACGGGAGGGGCAGTGGGTGCGACGGTTTGCTTCATCCAGTTATCTCAAGTTAATTACCTCATTACCTCTAAATAACGAAGCTGTGATCTTGGAAAAGGCTGCTGGGATGACAAAAATGTATTGGAACCAGGTCTGCTCTGGGCTAGCCTGTAACTAACATTACCTTCTGTTCTGCGCTGGCAGGTAGCTTACAGTGAATTTATCAGAGCTTTTGACTGCTGTGTCTGAAAAAACAAAGTTGAAGAGAGGCATGACACTGAACCAAAACAGTGAGGTCTGTGGCTTTATCACTCCTCTCACATTAAATGTAGCTACTCAATTGCTCCATTGTTAAGATCAAAACATCAGCTCTACAAATATTTGACCAAATGATGGGTTTCGAAAAAAAAGATGCCAATAGAGCCTTCAAATCCAATTTTCACAATATTCTTTCTGCCTGAGGTCCTTGTGTGCACTTGGAGGTGTGTTGCTGTAGCTCTTTCCTGCGATGCTTTGATTGACAGTGTTAATAATGAGGCAATAAATAAATATCCTGTTGTTGCTGTGGGGAAGAGGCTGCTGTTTGCTGACGTCAACACACCCCCTGCCCCACTTTACCCCTGGACAGGGAGCATGTGTGTTTTGTCTCTCACTCACCTCAGCACCCTCCATTTCCCCCTGGAATAATACTCCAGATGTCTCATGTAAAAATAGATGCTCACATTTGATTATATTAAAATACAACCAGAAATGTTCTTGATGTATGGAACCATTATCTTAACATCACCTCTATTATCCCAATGTTGCATTGTGTCTTTTCTCTTACTGGTGACTTTCCACTATGGGTGTTATTCTTATCTTCTCAAGTCCTGCAGGGATTACCAGCATGACCTGTTGTGTAACTGTCCTGTCTGTGCCTAGCATGCAGGTGCTCACGTTGTCCCGCAGCACCACCCAGTGGTTAGACTTTGCTGTGAGGAACTACTACAGGTGCTGGTCATATAATTAGAATATCATCAAAAAGTTGATTGATTTCAGTAATGCCATTCAAAAAGTGAAACTTGTATAATGTATACATTCATTCCACACAGACTGATTTATTTCAAGTGTTCATTCCTTTTAATTTCGATGATTATAACTGTCAACTAATGAAAACCCCAAAATCAGTATCTCAGAAAAATAGAATATTAAGACCAGTACAAAAAAAGGTTTTTAGACTTAATGTGATAACAAATCAAACAAAACTAATAATTTGCTGCTAGTTCTGTGATGTGTTTTGCTGATTGTATGAGACTGCATCCTTCAACGGACAATGTCATCTGCCTTAAAACTGCTTTATTTTATTTCACAATAACGATAATTTATATTTGGTTACTTGGGGGCAGCGGAACACGCTTAAAACATAACACTGATATCGCCATGTAAAGTTGTTTTGGTGACAGTGTAAGCATTACATAGCCAGCGACATGGAGCTTCATTAGCATTCATTTGGAGCTGTGATTTGTTGTGTAGTGAGCTTCATGTATTTCACACTGCTGCAGATGAAGTCCCTTCTGTACAGTAAAGTCAGCCTCATCTCCATTCAGGACAGTTGTGGTTTAGGCCTACATCTGGCTGTGTGAATTATTCAATTACAGCTAAATGATTACAAAGAAATAATGCTGATATTAAAAAGAATACTAAGCCCGCTGCTGGAGGATGGATACATAACTTGAAAATGTCTTATCAAAAGTACTAGCTGCAGACACAAAATGGCGGACCTCTAAAAGAGCGTCTTCACAGTTGACATGAAACCACGTTTGGCCCTCAACAGCATGTCTGTTATAAGTCTGTGAAAGCATTTGTTTCTCTCTCTCTTCTCCTTAGTTTTGGGGTCTAGGGATGACACGTGTACAGAGATTTAAACATTTCTAGTGCCACCTTTAGAAAAGAAATTTAAGATAGTCATGTGCTAACCCAACTACCCAAAGTATCTAATTTACAGTCAGTAAAATCAATAAAAAGCAACATATACAAGTACTTATTAATTTATTTACACAATTTTAAAATACACAAGTACAGTGGCATTACAAATGAGGAGCAAAAGTCTTAAGGTGGGAGTGGAAAGAAAGATTTCCCGTGAATCCACAGTAAAATGCATTGTGGGACATGAGTAACCCTCTCGACTACACAGGTCAAAGCAAAATTGGACAAGAAGTGACAAAATAAGAAATAAATGAGAGAAGCAGACAAACTATTCTCCCATGTAAAGTGTACTTGCATTTATCATAGCCATCATCAGTGAGACAAACAAGTTAATCCATCACCTTTTTTTGTTTCAGCCCACAGGTGAAGAATATATATATATATATATATATATATATATATATATATATATATATATATAAAAAAACTGCCTTAGCAGGAACTCTAATGGAGTGAGGCATTCCCATTCCCTCCGTACACTGCCGTCATCATCCGAACCTGTACAGCGGCTCGTGTGGACGTGGTAGACCAGTGTAGGCACATCCTATACACAACAATAGAACAAACACGTACAAATTACCACTACACCCCTTTGCCCCTTTGCCCCTTTAACTACAGAAAATGGCCAACAATACTTTGCAACCAGTCTACCACATAGAGAATATTCTACTTCAACATCTGCAGGATTAATTAGTCAGCGCGGCTGACCGCTCAGATCAGGTCTCCTCGTGATGGATGGGCATGAGGCACAGAGAAGAGCCACATGCGGCTTTTGGCTCCTGTACCATTGGGATTCGACTGCGACTTCCTTTCTTAAGACAACACTCCGTCCATAACGCTCCAAAACCCTCCCCACTTCCATTCAGCCTGAGCACACAGGTCCATTTTCTACCTGGACTCGCACATCGTCTGAACTTCTGATGGGGATAGCCCAAGTTGGTGTGAAAGATCAGTATGGACTGACAAAGACAAGGTTTAATTGAACTGCACTGGACACATCAAGCCCAATGAATTTTTACTGTGCTTAATCTATAATATTGGTTTTTAAAATTCACGGATGAATGACTGTAGAGTGGAACATTCACAATTTAGTACGGTACTTCCATGTGGGACTTTCAAAAAACAGATTAAAATAAGCATGGTCAAAATTGAGGCAACTATAACATATGAGCCTCCCCCCCTATAAAAACTGGGCCCTACATTCTCATAATGCAACTCGACAGTCTTTTGTTTAAGCTTTTCCAGAGCTGGTCTACGATTCAGACCAAACTCACTGCAGAGCTGTTTGTCTTGCCTGTTAGGTTGCACGTCTCCAATATAATCCTGCAAGTTGACAAAAAAATTGAAGTATTTTTTGCCTCCTTCGTAGAGTTTTGATGCCGTCTGCACCATGGATTTGCCAGTTTCTTGTTTGCTCTGGGCTGGTAGACTGAAACTGTTAAGTAGTGTAATGTAAATGGTGAAAACTAAACTGCAGCAAGTGTCATTACGTTGGGAAAGACATTATTTAAGCGCCTGTGGTTGAGGTTGATTTTTTTTATGATCTACTGAGATAGTACTGGAGAGGCACATCCAGACAAGCAAGTTGAAAGTCTATCTGTAAGACAGACAGTGTTTACCGAGGTCTAGGTAGAAAATGGAAAAAAGGTATGCTTGAAAACAAAATAGCAAACAGCATTTTGACCCAAAATGGAAGCTGACAGAGAAAGTGGGCGAAGGAGTTAATAATAATACTTTATATAAAAAAAAAATAAAATAAAATAAAAAAAATCCCTCAACATCTTCATCCCCTCAACTTTGAGCGTATGTAAGTCTACGACAGAACCACACAAACACACAAAACCACATCACAATACACCCGGTTAAAAACAACATCTCATCCATTCAAAGTGGACAAATTGACCTCTGACTATTTCACTGTTCCATTCACAGCTTTCTCAAGCAGCACACTGCAGTCACAACCTGAAGACAGAAAGAAAACGTGCTGCCTGTTCTTGGATTTACAACAATGTCCTGGTTCCAAAGCACCTGAGGAGGACAAAGAAACTCATACTACGGGATCACCTTTGAAAATAGAACATTAAAAGGCCTTTATTGTCCCATTTTAAAAACAAGGGGATTATCCTACCTTTAAATTTAAACCTCAAACACCTAAAAGAAAAAGGAAAAGAAAGTTGACTTGTGGGATTTCAGGAATCTTTCAGGACACAAAAAAAGAGTTTAGGCACTGTCCTTTAACACTGCCATGATGGATCACATTTCCTGCTTTCCTTATTAAAAAAAGCCCCACACTTAATATTTTTAACAGCTAACAGACTCATCCTTCTCCATTTTCAAACCCTCAGGAAGTCTGACCAGTGAAGCTGGTGTAAGACGCTTAATGCTTTATAATAAAAATAAGTAAAAACAAAATAAAAAAACAAAAAAAACAAAAAAGGTAAATGCCAGGGAAAAGTGAATCCACGGTTTCATCAACAGTAAGAAGAAGGGGAGGGGGGTGGGGGAGTGTTTCCACATTTTCAACGAGAGACGAAGAAAGGACACTGTGGCTGAGACTTTGCCGAGGTGGTTAAGGCAACCAAACTGTTCTCCCCCAAAACATCTCTCCCTCTCACACACAAACACACACACTCCTGGTTGTGCACCTCTTCCTCGATCAAGGGAACAAGAGCGCAGCCAGACTCTTTGCATTTGTTGGTAGTCCTGTGTCAATTAAGAGTCCGATCTATGTGTGTGTGCGCGTGTGTGTGTGTGTGTGTGTGTGTGTGTGTGTGTGTGCGCTGCAGGTGGTGCATGTTGAGGCCTCCATGGTGCACAGGCGGATGGGAGGGTTTCACCGTGGGGCTGCAGACTGGAGGCCACCGGGTGTGACCCGGGACAGAGCCTGCAGAAGACAGATGGAAAATATGGTCATTTTTCTTAACATTAAATCCACAGTTCAAGTTCAGGATACGGGTTTGGCGTGCGATTCGAAAGGAGCAGCAAAACGGAATGAACCCTCCTCAACATTTTATTGACTTTTGATTTGATCCCAATTAGATTGTAGCTATAGCTTATTTAAATTGACTAAAATATTTGATCAACTTATGTCAAAATTGCTTTGATCAAATCATTTCAAAATTTGTGATGAAACAGAGGGAATTTTGAGTAGCCCAAGACTAGCGGCAGCAAGAAAGTGTTTTTTTTTGTGTGTGTTTTGTAAGAATTAAACTGGAGGCTTTTACCCCATATTACCCTAATAATAATTTTCTAACGCAGGTAAAATCATCTCCAAAAAAAACCTGAAGCCCAGCACTGTGGAAAAGGTATTTTAAATAATAATGAATAAAATGTTGTCTGTATTATCTAAAGTCACAAACCAAGTAACACAAGCACATTCACATCATAACCCTCTCCCTTGTTTCCACTTTCCTTTTGACCCCATCATTGTGTCATAAACACAGACACCATATTAATAAGTTACTCATTTATGTATCGGCATCAAAAACATCATTCATTAATTTATTAAATTCAAAGCTTCACAACCAAAGCAGTTTTGCCGTTATAGTCACTTTGCCTGTTTTACATTTATTGTCCACTTGATGGCACACTACAGCAAATGAAGCACCATGAAGCTTCGGCCCCTGAGTGAACCAATTCAATGGAAAGCTTCAATGCTTCATGAAGCTTCATCGCACCATCACTAATAAAAAGGGAAAATTATTAAGAGGCAGCTCTGCTGAAATACAAGGATACAAACAGAAATTTAATGAATAAAAAAGGGCTTGCATTCCAACTCAGCACAGAGACATTTAACTGGTCTATCTGACCATGTTTCATTATAATAAATCTGTAGCTTCACTCACTCCTTACACCTAACGTGGTTGGTAGACCTACGGCTGTTGGTTGTAGTAGACTGAAGTAAACATTATTAGACTTTGACTGGCTGTAAAACTCTCTGACCTCCTGGGGGAGCACTAGGTCGACAAGAAAGAAAAAATTAAACCAAGGACCTAATGAAGCCATCAGACAGCGGAGCACTGCTGGGAGAGCCACACGCCCAGCAGGAAGGTAGGAGATGCTCTTAAACCACGGCCAACACAAGACAAATGCTTATTTACCCTCATTTTAATTCTTCTCATTAATCTGTCTCACTAAGGTCTGTTGTTACAAAACTACTGCTGCCATTTGGTTGCTTCATAGCAGTGATTCATGTTCAAAGTAAAATGCAAAAAAGGGGGAACTACTAACATATGGTAAAGTGAAAAGGGAAGTACTTTGTCCTTTAAGGCTGTCTGAAAAAGATAGAAGAAGTCTGTATGTGCTGATACATGCTGTGTGTTCTCTTGTGACATACGGTTCCTTTTTTGAAGACAAGTCAATCTTGTCTTTCTTGATTGTTTATTTCATAATATTTACTGTCATGCTATACAAAGTCCTCCCTGTTCTCTTTTTAATTCCCAGTACCAACTGAACAAGAGACATTTCTTGCTCCATTTCACATCTTTTCTTGCCGTACTGCTGATAAGTAGCTTTGCACGTCAGACCTAGTTGTGGATTTCTTACATTACACAACAAAGCAGTTTGTGTGTTCTTGTGTGCGTGTGTGGTACCTGTGAGGTGGACATGCGGGATGTGTCCTGGCGTCCCGTCAGGTCTGAGGAGGAGATGTTGACAGGGGCCCCTCGATGCAGACGCATGCTCACCTTCCTCTCCTTCTCCAAACCTGAAAGACAAAAAAGGTAAAAGAGGTCAAATTATTACAATCAGTGGATTAAAAAAAAACAAAAAACGTTCAAGTTAGCGTGTGTTTGTGCTCACCTGTGTGTGAGGCGGGGTTGAGGGGTGAGGGGGCTGCAACTTCTTGAGCTGCCCTGGCTCTTCCTGAGGCCGAGGCCATGCCCCTGGCCGCGGGGTTCCTGCTGTGCCTCAGTCTCTCCTCCCGCTCCCGACGCTCCCTCTCTGCGTCCTCCACGGCCCTGTTGGCACCCTGACACACACAAACACACACGGTTTGAAGTTTGTCTCTCAATATCTACACGCGAGTAGCAGTTACCTGTTAACCCAAATAGCCTCTTATTGAATCAATTAACTGCATTCTTTTGGGTTTGTTAACTGAATAGGTAAAAAAAAAAATGAAAAAAAGGGGAGGTAGAGATAATGTGCCTTTCTCCGCAGGGGAAAAACACTTTCGACCTGAATCATAATGCCATCTAGAGAAATTAACTAAAATGCTCGCCAACGAGTATTTCAGCACAGCAACTTGGGAAATTCTCACTCCCACAGGTGCCTCTCTGTCTCATACCACCTGACAGTGCAACATCACTTCCTGTAGGCTATAATATTCTCTCATCTAATATCTGAGACTGTCACATGACCTCTCCCTCTCATTCTCGTCACAAAGTTTATTTTAGCGTCTCACTTAAAGTTAAATGATTGCCTCTTTTTTTCTGCCAGTCTGTCACACTGCTCTGACGACACGCTGTTGACAGCTGCGCTATTAATATTTTATAATTGTTCTAGGTCCTCTGATTCATCAGGCTGAAATGAGCAATTCACGCCACATCTGTGCAGTTAAGAATCCAACTTGGAAAAGAGGTTTAGGATAAGAACATAAAAATGTCTTGCATGAGGCCCACGGTACCTTGTTAGCAAGTTAGATATCTTTAAACAAACACACAAAGTTTGTGTCTTTTTAAGGCTAAATTTAAAGAAACCTGGACTCAATAATAATGCAACAAAGTACTGTGGCAAAACCTTTGCAAACGTGGGAGTTCAACTTGCCAAGTTCGAACACACAATAATGTGATTTTACTTGGCATGCTCTGTACTGAGAAAGGCCTCCGAATGCATCAGCTGTAACAAATCGTGGAAGCACAAATCCTGCAGTGACTGACTTTAGAGATGACAAAAAAAAATGAACAAAATCCCCTCGATGATAAGACAACTTACAAATTTGAGCATGTTCCAGTCAAAGACATAGTCGTAGGAGAAGCCCTGTCTGTGGAAGAGGTTCCTGAAGAGCTGGCGGAGGTACGAGTAGTCGGGCTTGTCATCGAACCGCAGAGAGCGGCAGAAGTTCAGGTAGGTGGCAAACTCCGCTGTAGGGACGAAGAGGACGGGAAAGTTCAGACACACAGGGCCCACACTGCAGCTTCATGGCAAATACTTGAACAAAGACAATCCAAACACACTGACTTCCATCCCAATATAGAAAGTGCTGTATGTTAAAAGTGCAGCAACGTTAATACATGATTCTTAACATCCTAAATGGAACTAATAAAAGATGGCAGGGAGCACTTAAACGTACATGGGTAGCCTTTGCAGAGGACCTCAATGGGCGTGGACATTTTCTTCTCACTGATACGTTCGTACTTTTGCCTCTTGGTGGCGGCTTTGAGGCCTTGCCAGGGCAGAGAACCCAGGTTGAAGTACATGAGGACGTAGCCCAGGGACTCCAAGTCGTCCCGTCTGGACTGCTCTGTAGACACAGAGAGGACAAAGTCAGAACAGCAGTCAGGAGGAGTCTATCCATTCATGGCATTAGTCAGGATTTTGTGCACCTTATAAAGACCAGTCTTACCAATGCCCAGATGAGTGTTTATGGAGGCGTAGCGGGCGGTGCCGGTCAGGTTCTTGTTCTCGCGGTAGGGGATGTGCTGGTGTGTGCGAGCGTCGCGGTATTTCTTGGCCAGGCCGAAGTCGATGATGTAGACCAGGTTGCCCTTCTTGCCCAGCCCCATCAGAAAGTTGTCTGGCTTCACGTCTCTGTGGATGAAGTTCTTGGAGTGGATGTACTCAATGCGGCTGATCTAGATACAGAAGTGGGAGAGGGTCTGATGTCAGCCTTAACGTGCAAATATGGCAGGGCACAGATACA